CAATGTCAAAACTTCAAAACACAACCTTTTGGGCCAAAACTTGGTAAAACATTGAGAAACTCGTAGTATATGATGAATTACAAATCATTTTGCAAAATCAAGCCCAAAAGTTTTACTAATTGTACAAAATAAAACTTAAAACTTCTAGAACATAACATGCATGTAATGACTTGGATACAAGGCGTCAAAAACATGAATAGATGAAGTGTTTAAGTGCAAAACCACCATGAGCTCCCAGATAAGAACAAAAATAAGCTCTTGCATGTAAGAATTGTTGAAGTCAAAGCTCAGAAATTGATGAATTATGCATGCATATGTGTTATGATCTTGTTTCCTATCTCTTAGCTTGATTCTTGCATTTCCTAACTTAACACTCTCGAATTCATGCATTAGCCAACTCAATTACAAACTTAAAGTCTTGAATTCTTACTTTAAGTGTTCAATTGTGTTCTAAGTTGTCAATTCTTTGAGTTTTCAAGTTGAATCCTCCAATTCTCTACAAATCCAAGCTTGAATACAAGTTTCTTCCTACTCTCCCCCTCTCTCTCTCACGATTTTGATGTCAAAAGATGATGAAGTGTGTGTGTGGTATGCAAGACTTATATAGGTGCCATTAGTGGCATTAATTAATTATTGTTTAGATTAAACAATTATATTCATTTTATTCTAAATATTTGGTTTCAAATTGAATTTCAATTAAACCTACCCTAAAATTTTAAAAATTTCAAATAACGCATAAACCAAGTTAATTTTGTGATCAGATACCGATAACTCCTTCAATTCGCATAATGCCACAGAAACACAGACAGATCTGCCTACGCCAAACATATATAAACACATATAACACAATAAACATGCAATTCATATAGAATTTCCTCTTAATTACTTATCAGGCATGTTTAATCATGATTTAATAGTTAATCACAGATTGGGATTGTTACAAATTAGCTAGCTAATGGATATTTTTAATTGTTTAAAATTAAGATAATTAAAAAAAATAGTATGAGATATTAAAACTCTCACAGTTCTCATCACTAAAAATTTCATTTTCCTTATATAATATGTAGATAGATGTCATTCTAACAAAAAAAATTTGTATAAAAATTCTATAAGAATATATTTGGTTTGATTTTCAAAACTTCTTTTAGTTTTTTTTCAACAATATTAAAATTTAATTTGGTGAAAAAAATAAAAAATATCAAAAACACTTATTATTTTTATGAGGCCATAAATCATTTTTAAAATTTTAATTTTTAATTTTTTAATTTTTTTATATTTAGTTTTAAGAAAAATTAGGCGTCAACCCCCACCTCTTAAGGACTATGAGAATAGAAGCTTAAGGACTATGAGAAAGTTGTATTTGATAAGGCTCCTTAGTGTTTTGAAGGTAGTTCTTTAATTCCTTTTTGCTAGCCCTTTTTTTTTGGTTCCTTTTTTGGCCTCATTTAGAATTGCTCAAAGAAATTTTAGAATTACTCTGAGAAATTTTAAAATTATTTATTTTCACTCAGAGAAATTTTAGAATTGTTTATTTACTCTCAGATAAATTTTAAAACTGCTTATTTTCTCTCAAATAAATTTTTGAATTGCTCGGAGAAATTTTTAAATTGTTTATTTTCTCTTAGAGAAATTTTAGAAATTTCACTGATTGAAGATAGCTAACTTAGTGAAATTTTGTCAATTTTTTTTTTCCTCTTGAAATTTCATACACATCATCGATTTTGTTTGATAGATTTCGATGATAACATTCTAAAAATACAAATTTTATTAAAAATGGATATCTAAATAAAAAATTATTGAATTTTTAAGTTTTAAAAACTTTAAAAAAGTCAAAGCCGTTGAATGAGTACTGTGAGTTGGAATCTGAAAATTGCTTCCGTATTTTCCAAGGACCTTAGCTACTACTACAATATTTGTTGTTATTTATTTTATAAAATTTTAATATGAGGGATCTTAAAATAAAACACTCACATTTTTATCAAATTAGTTTTATTATTTTAAAAAAAAAAATTCTAAAATTTCTTTCTCAAAAATAAACCAAACATTGGCCATAATGTTTTGTAAGAAGAGTATAACATAAAAATTATACATAAAATAATATAAAATGATGTTGTAGATTTCGATTTTATTAATTTAAATCAAAAGAGTTATAAAAATGACTTAAAGAAAAACGGCCTTAATGTGAGTTAACTTTTAAATTTTTTGACTATTAAAAGAGTTATAAAAATGACTTAAAGAAAAACGGCCTTAATGTGAGTTAACTTTTAAATTTTTTGACTATTTTAGTTTGGGGTTAAAATATTTTGTTTAGGATGGACCTTTTAGATTTTTTTACTTTTGTAAGAAAAAAATAAAATAATTATGATTTGAAAGTGATATTTTGTTTTATTAACTTTTTAGCCTATTTTATTTTTTTGTAACTGTTTTAACCGAAACTATTTATGCCAAATGAAGCTTGAATAAAATTATGTAATTTAAATTAGTCTGATGGTTCGATCAAGCAACTGGCCAATAATGCTACTGACGTATCCTAAATTACACTTTTACCTTAAAAAAAAATGTTATGAATTTCAAGTAATATATCAAATTTTTAGCATACCTCTTTAAATGCAGTCATTTAAAGATACAACCTATTAATTTTTTCCACTAAAAGGAATCAAAATCAAAATCAGAGGAATTGACACTAATGTTTTTCTTTTTAACTATAACCCCATTGGTTGAATTAAATTCAACATGTTTTTTTCTTCTTCTTTCTCAAACCCTGAAATATTATTGACCTTCTTGATGTTTGAATAAGATTATCAAATTTGTTAACTTTATGCGATATTTGAAAAAAAAAATAATAATCACATAATTTACATTGATCTAAGCTTTGATTGGTAAAGGAGTCAAAACATTCAACAAAATTTTAAAAAATAAAATCAGATTTCAAAATTAAGAAATAATTGTCAGACTTGGAATTTCAAAAAATTTACCCAAATTTGGTAGTAAAAAAATAAAAAGCTTAAAAGGGTACATCCCTAAGATTTAAAGAAAATATAATTAATTTTATACTTTAATTTAATTGTACTAATTTCTTTTAAAGTTTTAGGTTTTGCCTGGCGTATGCTAAAATAATACATGTTATTTTAGCACATTATCCTATTTGAGTCACAATCATCTTATTTGGATCATATTACCTCTCTATCACATCACTTTAAACCTAACTCATAACACATTTTTTCGTAAAAAATCAAAAACTGTGCTAATCTAGGACTTTCTAAAAAATCCTTTAATATACATAACAAATAGGCTTTTTTATATATATTTTTGTTAATAATTTGTTAGTTATATAAATGAAAAACAATTTTTTTATAATTTTTTTAATTAAAATGTATATTTATTTTTATTTATTTTAGTATCTATTTATTATCTACTTTAGTTTCGATCATTTTTTAGTCTTATTAAATAACAATAACGTAATTATATTAAAAATATATGACTACTTGTATTTTGAGAGAATTAGTTAAACATCCCTTACCAAACTTTGAATAGTATGAGAGATCTAATATATTTTTTATTACTTAAAGTCCTTCGATAAAATTTTTCTGTGATCATATTAATTTCTCTGTGATCATATTAGAAATTTTTCAAAATTTCTTTGTGAAATTAGAGAAATTTCTCTGTGAAAATTGAAATTTCTCTGTGTCGGGACAAAATCTATCTATGTCAAATTTTCTCTATGAGAATATTGAGGGACACCAACTACTACGAAAATATTGTATATATTTTATTTTATAAAATCTTAATATTATGGATACTAAAAAAAAATTCTTGTATTTTTCTCAAATAGTAGAGAGGTTAATATAGGCCTCTCTTATGAAGTAAGTTAAAAGTCATTTTCTAACTTTTAACTTATTTTGAATTATATTATCTTTTATATTTTTTTACATGTTTTTACAAAAAAAAAAAACTAATAAAATTAAAAAAAATCATTTTTTAATCATTTTTTTCAAAATACCCTATAATCAGTCACGTTACATCTATTGAATTTGACATAGCCTGAATTGTTCAAATTTGTTAATGCCGATCTTTTGACAAATTGATCGGCCAATCATCCGAATAACAAGATGACGACTACTATAAAGGAGGATAAAATCAATCGTTCAACGGGTCGTCTAAACAATCATCTCACAAACCGACTAACTGATAGAAATTCGGATGATTCAAGCGACCATATGTTGAGCGGACAAATCATTTAACTAATGTAATTTACTTAAAACAAAAACAAAAAAATGGTTTAGACCTCTAAAAAAAGAGTTCTAAATGAGTATTAATTTGTCTCCTTTTTTTTTCTTATTTTATCTTTTACCTATTTTTTTTCTTTAAAAAAAAAAAAGTGTGGTGCCAACTCAATAGAGTTGTTTTTAGAGCAGCTCGCTCTGTAACACTGCTTTGGGTATGTTTGGTTTGTATTTAGGAGATGAGTTTTAGAAAAAAAATTCTAAAAAATTGTTTGGTTTGAATTTTTCTCAAAAAAATTTCAAAATCATTTTCTCTCTCTTACACATCAATCAATCACTTTTTCTCTCTCCTCTCTCTTTTTCGATCACTTTTTCTTTCACACACACATCTACTCAAATTCTCCCAAAATATCAAATCATCTCAAACTCCCAAAAAAATAACTCTCCCAAAATATACAACCAAACAAACTAAAAAAAATTTTAAACTCTCTCCCCAAATTTTTTTTCAAAAACAACTCTCTCAAAAACAAACCAAACAAACCCAAAATATTTAGGATTCTGACAAGCTGGCCGTCTACGTCACACTCCGGAGGGAGTTAGATCAGATCAGATGAGATCCATTGACGCCGATGCGCCGTACGCTGAAAAAAGTCAACAACACAATGGTGACTCACTTCTCACATGTGTCATCCTCCCATTGGTTCCAGTTCTCGTAACAGAAAACCCTTGCGAATCCCAAATCACCACGTCACAACACTAGCATGAACTAAAATCACAGTCAAACGTGCTAAGTGTGACTCTCTCTCTCTCTCCCTCTCTCTCTCTCATCACTTCCAAATCGATTATCTGGTTTTCTACTTGTCTTTTCTCTCTCTACATTGTCTGAAAACCGCCATTTACGATGGCGGCCAAAGCTCTACTCATTTTCTCTCTCTCAGTTCTCATTCTATTCAACGCTTTTTCCTCTGCATCTCTCTCCTCCTCCTCCAAGCCCGACGACGATGAGGATCTCAGTTTTCTGGAGGAAGACGACGCCGTGTCGTCCCATCCTCCTCCAGATCCATACCAGTACGGCGGCGAAGAGTACAGAGACTTCGAGAACTACGACGACCTCGAGGAGGAAGAGGAGGCCTCCGATTCAGGCGATCACGAGGCTTATTCGATGCCTGTTGTTGATGAGAAGGACGTGGTGGTGTTGAAGGACTCGAATTTCAGCGATTTCATAGCGAAGAATCGGTACGTGATGGTGGAGTTCTATGCGCCGTGGTGCGGCCACTGTCAAGCCTTGGCGCCGGAGTATGCGGCGGCGGCGACGGAGTTGAAGAGCGAGGTGGTGCTTGCGAAGGTAGACGCGACGGAGGAGAGTGAGCTTGCACAGAAGTATGAGATTCAGGGTTTTCCGACTGTTTATTTCTTCATTGATGGTGTTCATAAGGATTACTCTGGCCAGAGGACCAAGTAAGTTTCTGATCTTCTTTTGGTTTTGGTTTTGGTTTTGCTGAGTTTGATTTTGAGTTGCATTATTGTCTCTCTTTTGGTTGATGAGAAATCAAAATTGAATCTTTTAGCTTATAGTAAACGATAATATGTATCATAAATCTAAGAATCTGAATGAAATAAGGCAAAATGAGGCTAATTATGAATTAATAATGTTAATGCGATAATCGCTGCTTATTTCATGTTGAAATGGAAGGTAGAAGTGCTGATCACTGGTAGCCGTTTTTGTATTCAGGGGTTTAGAATGATAGAAAATTGAATTTGAAATTGTATTTCTCAAGAATCATGCAGTGCAGGGATTTTAGCTTTCAATGAAGTTGAAGATTTGATGCTTTCATTGTTGATTCATATGACTTTTCCTTGCAAATACGAAACGCATCTTTTTAAAATGAAATGCCATTGAAATTTAACAACTCTCTTGTTTCTGAGGGAGCATCCAAACATGCCACAATTCAAAATGACCAATTTACATTGCTCATTTATTTGATGTGAAAGTTTGGGGGGGCAATATTAAGCTTTACAGCACTTGCCACCATGGTATTCTTCTTTCCATAAAATTTCCTTAAATTTTTGTCGTAGCATATAAACTAATTAATTAATTAATTCATTGAATTTTATTGTTCATGCGTGGTTGAGTAGTCAAGTACTGTTGTCTTATTGTCTTATTACTCATCTTTTGTAGGGATGCTATTGTGAGTTGGGTGAAAAAGAAGACGGGACCTGGTATATACAACCTATCAGTAGAGGAAGCAGAACGTATATTGATTGCTGAACCTAAAGTAGTTTTGGGCTTCCTTGACTCTCTAGTGGTATTTCTTGAATCTCAACTGGGACTTTATTTGTACCTATTGTTTGATTGATATCCAAAGTCTAGTATTATAAAATTCCCTACTAGTTACCTGTTTGAAATGCACACAAGTTATTTATCACTTTTTTGTTACTCCTACATGCTGTAAAACACCTTGACCATGTGCTGCCAGAGGTTGCTAAAAGATTTTTTTTTTTTGAACAACCCAAAATTGATATTTTGCCTTGACTTTTACTAATGCATTTTCATATTTTTTGTCCTGATAATTTTTGTTTTTTAACTGGTTTATCAGGTCTTAAATAAATCATTTGATCTTAAGATCACAAATGATAAGTTGATCAATTTACAAAACAAAGTGTGTGCATGGGTTGAATGCATATACTGATTAATCCCAACTTCATGCGTGTATACAGTGCTTCTTTGTTTGCTTAGAATCTGAATTTGACAGCTTACTCTCATAAGCTGCCCGACAGCTGCTCATGTCTCATTTAAGTCAACTTTGACAATACAATGCCAATTTTAAGTTTCAGTTTGTTAAAGTTTCGTTGTTTGTTGGATGACACAAGTTTTTCACTTCCAAGTCAAAAATTCCACCAGTCAAGTTGTGGGAGGTTTGTGAAAAGTCATAAATGGCTAATTCCATAATGTATGTAATAAGAAATTTCTCTACATCTTTTGAATTTTAATTGTTTGAACTTTTTTTCTCTGTGGAGTGAAAGTATTTGCAGTGAAAACTCTGCGTTTTCGTTCTCTTGTTTTCAACCTTGTTTCTCACAACATATGCAGGGTCCACAAAGTGAGGAGCTGTCTGCTGCTTCAAGACTGGAAGAGGATGTCAGTTTTTATCAAACTTCTAGTCCCGAAGTGGCAAAACTTTTCCACATTGATCCCCAAGCCAAACGTCCAGCTCTGGTCTTGCTGAAGAAGGAGACTGAAAAGATTAGCCACTTCGGTTAGTTTCTTCATCATCTTAATTGTTAATACGCTTCTGATTTATGTTGCCCAAAGACTTTACTTACCCTTTCAGTTACGTCTACAGATGGTCAATTCATCAAATCAGCAATAACACAATTTGTATATGAGAACAAGCTTCCTTTGGTGACCACTTTAACCAGGGAAAGTGCTCCATTAATATTTGAGAATCCAATTAAAAATCAGGTATTACTTGTATTAATGTTGCTTTATTTTAAACGGGGTTTTCAACATTTCACTGTTTTCATATATTTTTTGTTTTTTTTCCTGTTTCAGTTGTTGCTTTTTGCTACTTCCAATGACTCAGAAACATTTCAACCTATGTTCCGAGAGGCAGCAAAAGCTTTCAAGGGAAAGGTGATTATAGAAACTAATTATTGCTTATTCTATTGCATTTTCGAAAGGAATATATTACTTACCTTTCTCCTATTTGTTTAATCTTTTTTGTTGTTTTTATTTTTTTAAGGACAATATTATGAACATCATTTGATAAAATGGAAAGTAGACAATACACAGAACTGGAAAAAGAAGATATAAGCAAATCTCACCGAAAAACCAAACTACAAGACTCGGCTAAAAAATAATATGTAGACATTTTTAATCACTGAGTTCATTTACTCTTCCATTTTTAATCACTTTCTGTTATCCAAATTGGCTAGATTATCAGTACTGTGTAGGTTAAAAATGATAAAGCAAAAGGATTGGCTATGTTATTGAGTCCACAGGTTGTTTAGCAATGTTCTTTCAGATCCAAGTGTAGGAACTTTCACATTGCAATTGCAATGCATTTTTTTTTTCCATTATTTACTTTCATCTTGGTTAGTTCTTCTTGAGTATAACCCATGGTCTCATATGACTTTATAAAATAGACAGTGTTCATTGTGGAATTACTGTTTGGGAGCCACTGGTGACAAAGTAGTTGCTTTTCTATCTTAGATGGTGGTGAAAGAATTTATAGTTAAACATATAATTAAGAGGAATTGTTGCATTCCAATAAGTCTCATAGGTGTAAAGGGGCAATGTAGCCCTCGATCATTTTTCTTAATGTTGTGAGGCAGCTTGGCAACTTTGTCTTTGCTTGTTTTCTGTTTGATATTTGGTGTGGGTGTTGCTGGGGATGTAATGGTATGATGTTGGGTTAGGAGTTTGGTTTGTTGAGAAGTTGAAGAGGTTTGATGTTGTCCTCAATTATCTTTTTTTTGGGATTAAAGTTGTCCTCAGTTGTTAACAACACATTAACAAAGCATCTTACATGTACTTAAGTTTGTCTCCTCTTTTTAGGTTTCAAATGATATTTTCTTTTTATTTTTTTTCATAAAAAATTGTTAATATTTAAGTATGTTTAATTCTGTAAGAGTGAAGAGCAATAGGAAGTTTGTCTCCGCTGGTAGACTAGCCATGTGTAAGTTTGAAGTAAATGATGGTGGACTTTTTCATACGAGTCTCACATCAGCAGATGTCCCATTGTTCATTAATGAAGAAAAGTTTCATGTGTATTATACTTTTCCCCCCAAACGTTTCCTTTATGTTAAATGCATATGAACGTAAGATTTCCAGATGTTGGTTATATCCTGTTCTCACAGCAACTGATTTTCCATGTAACTTGGTGTTAATAGATTTATTTATTTTTTTTTTTCTATTTATTTTTTAAGCTTATCTTTGTTTACGTGGAAATGGACAATGAGGATTTTGGGAGACCAGTTTCAGAGTACTTTGGTGTTTCTGGAGATGCTCCAAGAGTGAGTTTTTCCCACTATCTTTCCTTTTTCCATATATTGTACATCCCTGTTAATTGTACTTACCTAAAACTGAGTAAACAAAAATTTTGAATGCTGTCCATTTATATGCAGGTTATTGCATACACAGGAAACGATGATGCCAGGAAGTTTGTATTGGACAGTGACTTGACCTTAAGCAGCATTAAGGTTCACATATGATCTTCTTGTTTTTGTATGTTATTCTTCTGGCTTTGTGTTGGAAAGAAAGGACTGACACAAATACTGATAGTTGCTTCAATTTTCAATTAAGTCTGGAAATTTATATGATCTCTGTCATGTTGTAGTCATTTGGGGAGGACTTCCTGGAAGACAAACTAAAGCCTTTCTATAAGTCGGATCCAGTTCCAGAGACAGTAAGCCATCAACATAATTTCTGCTGGTTTTCGATATGCAATATGAAGCCTCTCTGATCAACTTCTTTCCCATGTATGGTTGATGCAGAATGATGGGGATGTAAAAATAGTGGTTGGCAATAACTTTGATGAAATAGTTTTGGATGAGTCAAAGGATGTCCTTCTCGAGGTAATAATCTTCTTCATCTATATTGAGTTCAAATAGTCATCGTACATATATTGATGTTTATGGAATCATTTTGATGGCTGGTCCTTAAACAGTTATATGCTCCTTGGTGTGGGCATTTTCGATATGCAATATGAAGCCTCTCTGATCAACTTCTTTCCCATGTATGGTTGATGCAGAATGATGGGGATGTAAAAATAGTGGTTGGCAATAACTTTGATGAAATAGTTTTGGATGAGTCAAAGGATGTCCTTCTCGAGGTAATAATCTTTTTCATCTATATTGAGATCAAATAGTCATCCTACATATATTGATGTTTATGGAATCATTGTGATGTCTGGTCCTTGAACAGTTATATGCTCCTTGGTGTGGGCATTGCCAAGCACTAGAGCCAATATACAACAAGCTTGCCAAGCATTTGAAGGGCATCAATTCACTTGTTATTGCCAAGATGGATGGGACCACAAATGAGCACCCGAGGGCGAAGGTGCGATATATTTTTTTCATAATAACATTATAAGTAGAAACACCTCCTTCCATTATAATTTTTTTGTTCTCCTCTTTCTAGTTCATTCTCTAGCTGCTCATTTTCTGTACCTTAAAAGAGGAAAAATAGGATAGCTTGATTCCATAACAGTTTTCCCTAACGTTAGAAGATAAGATAGGCCAATAATAAACCTTGATTTGCAGGGCTTGAGAATATTTGATTTGAGATAGGGCTTTACGATTGGCTTTAATTATGGAATTAGTGATAGCAATGGAATTTCCTCTGCGATTTCTTAGTCTGTAAACTGGCCTTTAATTTTCACCTTAATTTTTGTTTTCTTTTCCCTTCCTTGTATCCCTTCTCAAGTGATGTCTCAAGCAAATGACACGTGCTAGCCATCGTCACTTTTAAATGCACCGTTGTTATGTTCTGAGTAGCATTTTAAGGATATTGATGCACTGTAAGAGCAATTTATATCTGTAATAACATGGAAATCCTACATGGGTAGATCTTTTTATGTCAATTACGTTTTAGGGAGAGACAGGAAATGAGTCATGTTTGAATTTGCTTTTGCAGTCTGATGGATTCCCGACAATTCTTTTCTTCCCAGCTGGCAATAAGAGCTTTGACCCGGTTAGTGAAAATTTTCTTTCTTATTCTGATACTATTATTTTTCTTCCAGTTTTCATCAATTATTATTGCCTTCTAACAAATTTCCTGATATTGCCATGTGTGATGTCATTGTTTTGCAGATCACTTTTGATTCTGATCGAACCGTAGTGGAATTCTACAAATTCCTCAAGAAGCACGCGTCCATTCCTTTCAAGCTCCAAAAACCAGCTTCAACACAGAAATCCAAGGATTCTGATGCCGCAGATGACGGAGAGGGAAATAAAAGAGCGGTGATGCCAATTTGAAAGACGAATTGTGAGGTTTTAACATGATAAACAATTTTTGTTTTGTTTTAGATAAAATCCCGAAACATTCTCTTCTCTATAGTTGAAAGACTGACATTGGATGAGGGTGGGGGGACAAATTTCATATGATGCACCCCATCCTTGTTTTCATGTTAAAATTAAAAATTTTGAATGCTCATTTCCCCTTTTAAAAAAATTTAAAAAATAAATGGGATGATCCAATAAAAGTTCTTCACCATATACAAAAAGAACAACGGGTTGGAACAAAAATGGCTAGTCAATTTGTCAAAATACAGAAGTCGTAGTTTAGAGTAAAAAAATGGCTAATAAATTTGTCGAAATACCGAAGGCCTAGTTTGGAGGAAATTATTGTATTGTGTTTAAAAGCATGTTATGGTTTGTATGAAATTCCCATTATTAACAAACCAGCACTAGAAAGAAAACTAGCTTATTTACGACTGTTTAGTGACATTTATAGCAGTGGATAGTGATGAATGGTAGTTGCAAGACGATGGTAGTTGCAAGACGATCTGCATTTCAAACATTTGTCACACCCCAAGGTAGTTGTAAGTTAAGGAGACTCAAACTCAAGTTTACATATTGGGTGAAGACCTAAAGTAATAATATTATAGGCCCGACATAGACAATATCTATCTATACTATACTATATATAACCAAATATTTATTCTTAATTTCTCATAATTTTAAAACACTATCTTTCCTACGTGGCAACTTTCTTTGATTGCTTTTCATATTTTTTTATTTTTCTTCATTTTTTATTTGTTTGATTAATTAAAATTAAAATTAAAATTAATTTCATTACTTATGGATAAAGATTTGAATTTCAAAATTCTTCCATATAGATAAACATATAAAAATTAAAAATTAATTTTATAATTTACAGATAAAGATAAAAAAATAAACAATTAATTTTTAAAAAATTAATTTCATAACTTATAGGTAATTTAAAACTTCTTCCCATAAATAAGCAAATAAAAGTTGATAAATAACTTATAAAAATTAATTTCATGGCCTACAAATAAAGATAAAGATTAAATAAATGATTTCTTTTTTTAAAAAAATAAAATAAAATTAGTCTCTCTTTTTTTTCCCCTTCATTTCATACTTTAATTAATTTCATTATAGATAAACATATAAAAATTCATAAATAATTTATGAAAATTTATTTCATGACCTATAGATAAAGATAAAAATTTTAAAAATTATTTTAAAAAAATAATTTCATGACTTATAGATAAATAAACATGTAAAAATTGATAAATAATTTATAATGATTAATTTCGTTGCCTATAGATAAAGATAAAGATTAAATAATTGATTTTCAAAAAATTAAAAACATATATATCTATCAAAAATTAAAAATTAAAAATATGATTTGTTAATCTATATATCTATCAAAAACATATATATCTAAATATTTATTTTGATTTACTCTTCTTCTTTTTTTTCTCGTATCACATATTATCTTTTTTTATTTTAAATTTTTTATCTTATGAAATGCCCTTATCTATAATTTCTTATCTCCTATTAAATTCTTAACCTTCTCTTGATAATTTTTATTATTCGTTGTTATCTACTAAATGATAAAGATTATAAAATAAAATAAAAAATATCGCTCTGAATGAGAATAGTATTAATAATGAAATAATAAAAGCTACATGGGAGAAGGTAACACAAAAATCTCACAAAATTAATTTTCTTCACTATATTTATAAAAGGTAATAATTTAAGATTCTTTCTATTAGTTATTAAAAATAATTTGCATTAGATCATTGTTATGTTTTTTTTATTATTTTTTTATGAGGTTGTCATTCGTTATAGTATTTCTTCAATCCCATCTCTAAATTCTCTCTTTGAAATTTTTGTTTTTTTAATAATTAAGTTTAGAATCAATTTCTTATCAAAATTATTTTCTTGATCCTTATTTTATTGAAGGATTGAAACGAATAAAACTTTCATATAATATATGAAATTAATGAATATAATACAAAGATGATAAGGAAGTACTACATATTTGTCAATATCTCTATGTTATTATTATTTGATTTGTTAGATTATACTATCAATTTAGAGCCCATATGATTTAATTTAATGTTCATGACTCTATTTGTATTCGACTATTTTTTCGTTGAGTAACCGATATAATTTTTTTGGGGGGTATATAATGATTAAAGCTATCATTTGTTATATTTTTTCAAGTACAATTCAAATAATTTTTTATCATTTTTTTATAAATAAAATGGATTAATTAGTTTGGAATATTTAGTGGGTCATAGTGAGTGAAAGGTAAAAGTTTGAATTAACATTAAGGTGAGTCATATTATACCTTGAGTATGTTTTTAGTTACCATAATTTATTTTATGCAATTTTTGTTTTATAAATTATATTAATATTTCAATTATGTTGATTATTTTCTGAATTCTATTTGCTTAAAATGAAACTCATGGATATGTTTGTATATCTAAATATTTATTTTGATTTACTCTTCTTCTTTTTTTTCTCGTATCACATATTATCTTTTTTTATTTTAAATTTTTTATCTTATGAAATGCTCTTATCTATAACTTCTTATCTCCTATTAAATTCTTAACCTTCTCTTGATAATTTTTATTATTCGTTATTATCTACCAAATGATAAAGATTATTAAAATAAAATAAAAAATATCGCTCTGAATGAGAATAGTATTAATAATGAAATAATAAAAGCTACATGGGAGAAGGTAACACAAAAATCTCACAAAATTAATTTTCTTCACTATATTTATAAAAGGTAATAATTTAAGATTCTTTCTATTAGTTATTAAAAATAATTTGCATTAGATCATTGTTATGTTTTTTTTATTATTTTTTTATGAGGTTGTCATTCGTTAGAGTATTTCTTCAATCCCATCTCTAAATTCTCTCTTTGAAATCTTTGTTTTTTTAATAATTAAGTTTAGAATCAATTTCTTATCAAAATTGTTTTCTTGATCCTTATTTTATTGAAGGATCGAAGCGAATAAAACTTTCATATAATATATGAAATTAATGAATATAATACAAAGATGATAAGAAAGTACTACATATTTGTCAATATCTCTATGTTATTATTATTTGATTTGTTAGATTATACTATCAATTTAGAGCCCATATGATTTAATTTAATGTTCATGACTCTATTTGTATTCGACTATTTTTTCGTTGAGTAACCGATATAATTATTTTTTTTGGGTATATAATGATTAAAGCTATCATTTGTTATATTTTTTTAAATACAATTCAAATAATTTTTTATCATTTTTTTATAAATAAAATGGATTAAAACTATTCTCTTCTATAATTTTTATAATACTATAACATTCTTATCTTGATTAATTTTTTTAAAATGACGAAGGAACTATGCAAATATTATTCAAATTATGGAGAATGATTTATACTTTGATATGATATGAGTGTCATTGATAGAGGAAATCAAAAATAGAGAGTTGCTAATATAATCAATTAATGATTTGTTTGAGAAGTTATTTTTATAAGCAAGGCAACAAACTTAGATTAAAATTTTTTAAAAACTACTTATAAATTATATTTAAAGGTTGATATTTATTCATAATTTGATCCCATAATAATAATATACACCACTGATTTAAAAGTCCAAGTAAATTTACGATAACTTTTCTGAGCTTATAAAATTTCTCTCTTTTAATGTTTTGTTTAGTTTAGTTTGATACAAATTATTTATGTTATCAAGTGATTGTGATACTATTATTCTCAACAATTTTTATAATTAATAATTTCTTATGCATATCAAATTTTATTGTAAAATTTTATGGGTTAATTATTGTTAACATCTACTTAGATGGCTTAATATTATGGCTTGTCGCTATTAAGATATAATTTAAGATTAAGATAATTTATTTATCACGTAAAATATATATAGTCTATTTTTCCGTGCATCGCACGGGTTACCGCTAGTATATATATATGTATTTGTTTTAAGTGTTTGGTATAATCGTTCTAAATTCCTTCGAGTGAAAAATAAGTGAAATTACAAAAAAAAAAAATTATAAAAAAATAATCAGACTTCAACTATTATAATAAAATAAATGTAAAGTTTTTAATTTTGTCAATTTAAATTTAAATTTTTTAATTTATTTCTAATTTAATTTAAACAATTTGTTTATTTTTGTTAAATAAAATTAACGAAAAAAATAATATTTTTGTCATAAAACTCATATGAGTCTATGTAAAATATTTAAGGGGAATTAGGGTGCAGAATTTTTCTTACAAAAAATTGAAAAATATTATAAATATTAATAATTAAAATCATAAATTTTTTCACTTTTTTGTACCCCACTGGCATGTAATTCTTCCAAATATTTAAAATACATTTTTTCATTGAGTTTAATATTTTTTGCATTGATTTTAGACAAATAATTTAACTTGAAAATAAATTAAAATATTAGAATTTAAATTAACAAAAACTACCCCACTGGCATGTAATTCTTCCAAATATTTAAAATACATTTTTTCATTGAGTTTAATATTTTTTGCATTGATTTTAGACAAATAATTTAACTTGAAAATAAATTAAAATATTAGAATTTAAATTAACAAAATTAAAAAAACAAAGCTTGTTTTGTTATAAGGTCAATTTATTTTTATTCATTTTTTTGTAATGGTTTCTAATTTTTTTTTTTAAATTAAAAATATTTTAAAATTAAAATCTTAGCACACTACCATTGCTCTCATCACCTCCATTCTACTGCTACCACTAACACCAATCCAACCACCACCACTAATTAGTACAATAGTTTCAACAGTTCTGCTAGGTAGCTTGAGAAAATGATGGCTCAAATGGCTTGTTTTGGCACATTTTTCCACCCCCCTTACATATTCTTCATCTTCTCTCATTTTCATCCCATTAACAATTGCAGAGAGAGACCTTAGATCCACTACAAAAAAACAAAAAAAAGAAGAGAAAATAGAGACTTCAATGTTGTGGCGGTGGTGGTGATGGTGGATCTGGATTTACATAAACAACAACAATACATCATCATCAATAAAAAAAAAAAAATGTAGAATCTGAAAAAAAATTCAACAACACATCATCATCAACAACAACCAACCATCATCAACAATTTTTTTTTTTCTTTTTTTTCTTTCATGTTCTTCGTCTTCTCTCCCTCTCATCCCATTAACAGTTGCAAAGATAGAGAAAGAGACCTCAGATCCACTATAAAAAAAGAAAAAGAAGAAAAAAAAGTAGAGAAAATAGAGACTTCGGTAATGGTGGTGGTGGTGGTGGATCTGGATTTATATCATCAGTAACAACACATCATCATCAACAACAATCAACAATCACAAAATAAATAAATAATAAATAAATAAAATAGTCCGAAACTACATTGCTGAACAAAAAAAATATGTTTGGTAACCCACTGCTGAATAAAAGATACATTTTTTGTAACCCAAGGTCGAATGTTTTTTTGTTTGTTTGGTTACTCATTACCGTGCATTTCTAGTTTCATTTTTTTTTTGTATGTTTTGTTTTTTTACTTTGAAGGATTATGCGTATATTTATTGTAGCAATGTAAGTACAACCATTTAGCTACTGAACATCTTGAAAGACACTCATTTGCTAATAAATTATCTGAAGATGAAACATCTTTATTAGTTGATATGTCATAGAGTATGATGCGACTGAAAGAGATATTGATTATATTGAAACGAATAAATGCCTTTAATGCAACTATAATGGAGATAATCTACAATGCACATAAAGTAACAGGTGACTGGATAAATTTATTTTAGTTCGACAATATGGCACTGGAGTAATCTAATTTGTGTAGTAATGTATTACCGAATAGACACTTCACAAATAATGTATCACCGAATAAGCATTTCACAAATAGGCTCCAACTAATTTCTTCTTAAAGTAAAGAAAAATCATCCAATTGAATGACAAAAAATGGTTGGAAAAAAATAGTTTGTCTAGTAATATAGCACTGTAGTAATTCAAATTCTTTAGCATTGTATTACCAAAAGTTATTGATGTAAAGATAAAAAATTGAAAGTGTTTTGAAGAATTTTTAGTTTATAGTTAGTGTGGGGATATATTTTCTGAGTACCAACACGTGACATGGTAACGCTGACGTGTGAACCGAGGTTCCACGTGTCGTGGTAGTTATGCCAAGGTTATCTTGGCGAGGCCGAGGTTATCTCTGAAGATATCGGAATCCGAGATAAGCGGATAAGGAGCAAGAGTCCTAGAGTAAAGAGGGAACTTTGTTAAAGATAATGATAAAGGTGTAGTAATGTATTACCGAATAGACACTTCACAAATAATGTATCACCGAATAAGCATTTCACAAATAGGCTCCAACTAATTTCTTCTTAAAGTAAAGAAAAATCATCCAATTGAATGACAAAAAATGGTTGGAAAAAAATAGTTTGTCTAGTAATATAGCACTGTAGTAATTCAAATTCTTTAGCATTGTATTACCAAAAGTTATTGATGTAAAGATAAAAAATTGAAAGTGTTTTGAAGAATTTTTAGTTTATAGTTAGTGTGGGGATATATTTTCTGAGTACCAACACGTGACATGGTAACGCTGACGTGTGAACCGAGGTTCCACGTGTCGTGGTAGTTATGCTAAGGTTATCTTGGCGAGGCCGAGGTTATCTCTGAAGATATCGGAATCCGAGATAAGCGGATAAGGAGCAAGAGTCATAGAGTAAAGAGGGAACTTTGTTAAAGATAAGGATAAAGCTCTTAGGGAGTTTATCTTTATCTCTTGAAGAGTCCAAAGTAAGTATTGAATTGGAGTCCATAGAAGTCAAGCTTCTAGTAGGACTAGGATTGAGTAAACTATAAAAGAGAGGCACCCCGTGGGTCTAAGGTATGAGTTTTATGCTTTGAGCAGTGATTTTGGCAATTGATTTATCTTTGAGAGATATACTGACTTGATCGTCGGAGTGCCCCGGGTGGTCAAAACCACCGCGGGATTCTTATATTTTTGTAGCAGGTCAGTCAGGTGCCATCTATTCTGCCAGTGCTCTCTAGCTGGTTACTAAGCGGGTAGTGTGGTCGGAAAATCACCCACACAGTTAGTTTTGGTAATATAATAGGTGTAATATGAATCACATTTGTTTTAATGGTGTAATGAGATGAAGGGTATAAAAAGGTAAATTAATTGGGTAAGTAGAATCACTCTAAAATAAAATTTTCTCTAACAAATTTCATGAGATTATAGTTCTTAAATATTTAAAAATAAATTTTTTATTCTTCCTAAAAACTGAGTTGTTTTCATAATTTTCTTTCCCCCTCAAAAATAAATTTCTCAAAAAAATAAAAATAATAAAATAAAAAAAGTAAATTACAAATACACCCTATAAGGTTTGCTTAAAGTACAAACTGTCTCCTGTATTTTGAAAAATTACAAATACTTCCTTATTAGGATTTTTTATTTAACAGAATTAACTGAAAAAATAAATTTCATAATTGTTCTCCTATATAATAATAAAATTACCTAAATTATTAATCAAAACATATTTATAACATTATTAAAAACTGTTAATTGACTTGATAATTTATTAATAAATGAGACAATTTGTTATGAAATTAGAAATCTCAGGAGTGGAATGTAATTGTCAGAATTATAGGAGATAATTCGTATTTTAATCAAATATCAAGCGATGCATTTATAATTTATGAAAAATGAAAAATGATTCATGGAGTTTTCTTAAGTGTGCAAGTGCACACCATGTGCCACTTACACAAAAAGTGTAAGTGTAAATAAATGAGACAATTTGTTATGAAATTAGAAATCTCAGGAGTGGAATGTAATTGTCAGAATTATAGGAGATAATTCGTATTTTAATCAAATATCAAGCGATGCATTTATAGTTTATGAAAAATGATTCATACCTCTAAAAAAGAAGCTCTAAAAGAGCTCTAATTTGTCATTTTCTCCCTCTTTTTTTGTCTTCTACTGTACAATGATTCATCCCATTAAAAACATCACCACTAATAGCATTAATACATTAAAAAAGTAAAAAAAAAATTCGTATTTTAATCAAATATCAAGCGATGCATTTATAGTTTATGAAAAATGATTCATACCTCTAAAAAAGAAGCTCTAAAAGAGCTCTAATTTGTCATTTTCTCCCTCTTTTTTTGTCTTCTACTACACAGTTTTTTTTTTTTCTTTTTTAATTCATGACAACTCATTAGAGCTGTACGGCTGGTGCTCTAATTAGAGCTCTCCAGCAGCTCTGATAATTTATCCCTAAAAAAAAAAAAAAAAGATAAGCAAATGTATCAAACATCTAGGGGTAAATGTGTCATTACAGCTTTGCAATCTTACAGAAATGTTCCAGGTTCCTAGTTCTTCGGTTCAAATACGAGTCCAAAACACATCAATCAAAACACAACACAGCTCCTCAATTCTTGTTGATTTATTGACCTAACTTCACGTTCATTGGTATGTATGTTTCGATCTTCTCTGTTTTCCTCTCTCGATCATGATATATATATATATACATGTATATCTCTTTTTCTGATCTATTCTATGCATTTCACAGATTCATATTCGGTATTAGTTTCAGTAGATTAGATCTTCTTTGAGTAGAGAAGGTTCATTGAACTATTCTTGATCTGTTCCACACTGATTTTACTTTCAATTGATAGTTCAAATCGCTGAATATCTTAATTACATGAACTTTTGTAGGTTACCCTTTTTTCTATCTAGATTTGATGGTTTAGTGGTTAAGTATGGTGGATTTACTTGAGCTTGATTCTTGTTTGAGCTGTAATTCATCGATGATCACGTAATTGGTGGTGTTCTGAACTGAGGTTTTTAACTCAAATTGTGTGGTTGATTAGGTGTTACAATGGTCACAGTCCTGGTTAAATGTAGATCTGTACGAGGAGTTAGATGATTCTTTTTGGGGCTCTTGTTTTGGGTTTCCTTTGTGAGCTACAATTTTCTTGTTAGGGGTTTTAACCTACTTTTGTCTAATTTGAGAGGCTTCATGTTTTTCGGGAATTTGACTTTCTTTTCCACAAAAATCTGCTGTTGTAATCTTTGGTACTATGAAAGATTTGTTCAGTGTCCTTGAAATCTCAGGTTGTGTGTTATTTCAGAGGGAGGGGTTGGGGTTGGGGTTAGCTTTATTCTAATTTAATTTATTTTTTGCTTTTTAGGTTTTCTTTGCTTGTTGGTCAAGTGTAAATGGTATGCTTCTGCAGTGCGAACAAGCCCGTATCAATTCTTATTCTAGAAACTATAACTATTTTAAAATAATTATAAATGGAACTGCGTTGGAAACTTAAGAAAATAATATGGAAATCAAATTCCAAAAGAACCATAAAACAAATTCTTTAGAAGGGAAATCAAATTTGGTGGTAATTTAATATAGGGGAAATCGGTCTAGGGTCCCTCTTCCACTTTTCGTAATGGAAGAAATCCATAAAATTATTTTTTGATGTCTAAGGTCCTAAACATATATCAGACAAATTTCAGTCAAACCCACCGCCATTCTTACCCACAACCACCGCCATTATGATCACCATTTCCATTTCCATTCCTGTTCCCACCACCTCTGCTTCGCTTCCAAACCACCGACACCGATTGAGGTTTACCGTCTCTACATTTATATCCCAAAGGCTGTCTCGAAATCGCAACGAAGCCGAAGATGAAGCCGATGAATGTTGAGTCTGCTCCCGATCTCACTTCTCTTTCCACTGTTACGCGATCCGGAAGATGTGTTGGTGGAAAGGTTTAGAGAGGTTCTCGCGGAGCTTGATCGACGGAGAGAAGCTCTACGGCACAATCACAGTCACCGATGGACAGAGTTCTCAATCCATCCACAACCGATCAAGAGATCATTACGAATCCATCAGCCCGGGCCAAACCGCTTTGCTGATTGGCCCAGCTCGATCCATCTCAGCCTGCAACGGCTTCACCATCGACGTGGTTCTCAAGGATAAGGACAAATATATCTTGTTATAAAGGATCAAGTAAATTTGAAGAGAATGAGTAGATAGTGATATCTTCGGTTTAGTATTTATATAGATTTTTGCTGCTCATTAGGATTTTATTGAGGCAACTAGGGAGCCTGGCATCACATTCTTGGCTGCTAAGTTTGATAGTATACTTGGACTTAGTTTTCAAGAGATATCAGTTGGGAATGCTGTCCCTGTCTGGTAAGTTGATAAATATTTGTTGTTGATATTTCGGATACTACAGAGAATGTAAGTTATCAGTCATGTAAGTTAAAGACCATTTCTCCAGATGTAAGTTAAAGCCTTGGATGTAACTGTTGAGATCTAGAAGCCTTGGTATAATAATTTCTCTGGAGAGAAATTCTGAAATCCAGAGAAATTTGGTTAAAACACAGACAGACAATCCAGAGAATTCTCTGGAGAGAAATTTCGAAATCTAGAGAAATTTTCAGAAATTTTTCTGGAGAGAAATTCTCTGGATTGAATTTTCTCCATCAACCACTCCTCCAGTCAGTCAATGCATCAGAGAAATTCTAGGAAGGATTGGGCTAGAAAAATTCTGAGAAGAATTGGACCAGAGAAATTCAAAATTTCTCTGGACTCAGCCAATGCATTAGAGAAATGTTGAGAAATTCTAGGAAGAATTGGGCCAGAGAAATTCTGAGAATAATACACTATCATAGTCTTTGCTATTTGTGTAACAATGTATGCTTCAAGTAATGCTCTTATCTAATCTTTCATTGCAACTCTATTCATCAATGAAATACCTATTTCACGCTTTTTAATTCTTAAATCAGTTTTGATCGACCATTATTGGCTCAATTGGCTCAACTTATCCATTATTATACTGGTTTTGTTTTTATCCCCCCCAAATGGTCGTGTATCTTTTACATGGATTGGGTGATTTCAGAAGAAAAGAATATTGGATTGCTAAAAATGAGAGAAATTAGGGGAAATGAGAAGAAAAGTAGAGAAACTCATCCAGAGAATTTGGTTCAGAGAAATTTCTCTGGGCGCTCGATTGGCTCAACTTATCCATTATTATACTGGTTTTGTTTTTTATCCCCCCCAAATGGTCGTGTATCTTTTACATGGATTGGGTGATTTCAGAAGAAAAGAATATTGGATTGCTAAAAATGAGAGAAATTAGGGGAAATGAGAAGAAAAGTAGAGAAATTCATCCAGAGAAATTTGGTTCAGAGAAATTTCTCTGGGCCAGAATTTATTTGACCAATTTTCTCTAGACTGAAATTTCTCTGGACTGAAATTTCTCTGGATCAAGGTTGAGGGACCTTAGACATTATGAAAATATTGTTGATGGATCTTAGACATTATGAAAATATTTGGTGTCCTTTATGCTATAAAATCATAATACCAGGGACCTTAAAAAAAAAACCCCTTTAATATAACATGTTGAGAGAGTTTTAACTATTTGATTAAATAACTGCCTACCACTGGATACAGCTATTTATAGTACCAGACTAATTTTAAGGGTAAAACATCCAAGTCCAAGGTTCTGAAAAGCAGTTGCGGTTGCGGGATGTAAAGGTCGTAGCGTAACGGTTGCAATAGCCGAAACGTGAATTTTTTTATTTTTTGCACAATTTTAAAAAAACTTATTGATAAGCATATTTTTTTTTTTCATGAGCATATTTATTGGGTTTAAAATAAATATTGATCAATTTTTGTAAATTTTTAAATATGATCCAATATATTTCATATTTTTAAGTCACTATAAACTGAGTTTTTTACATTTTATTTTAATAATTAATGACTTTATATTATATAAAAAATTAATCACTAACTATTATACATAAGATAAATAATGACAAAAGTAAGAGAATAAATAAGAGTCTAAATATATATATATATACATACATATTTTAATCAAACCAAATCTATGAAGCACGGATACTTCAAAAAGGGTGACGTATCCGTATCGGATACTTATCGGATACCGATACTCCTCGGATACTCACGGATACATATCGGATAATTCTTAAAAGTATCGGATACTTCTTAATTAATTTTTTATTAATTTTGAAGTATCGGATACTTAATTTTGAAGTATCGGATACTCGAAATTACATATTACTTATAATATTTTGTTTAGTTCTTTGATAAGAGGAATATAGTGAGAGTTAAAGTAATAGAATGTCAAATTGATGTATCCTTGTTGTCTCTCTCACTTCTCTCTCGCTTTCTCACTCTCTCACGTTTCTTCTCTCTGCTCTCATTCTTTTTTTGATGTTGGCATGTAAGGATGGTGTTTAATTTGCATTTGCTTTTGGTTTTAGTTTTGGATGTTTTATGAATGTTTGAGCACTTTTAGGTTAATAGGAATCTTTCTTTATTTATTAATTTACTTAAGTTTTATTTTCATGCATATTACATTATTAAAATTATAATTTTTTTTTTTTTTTACGAATGTATCCCCGTTGTACCCGTATCATACTTTTTCAAGTTTTGACATATCGCCATATCCACATTCCCATATCACCATATCCGTATCCGTGCTTCCTAGGCTATCATTGATGACTTAAAAAAGTATGTTTGCTGAAATTTTTATTTAAGAATGGTTTTTTGGCTTTAGCTAAGGTCTTGTGATATTCACTGATGAAGGGGAACAAGTTAAAACTATTGACCTTGAAGACTCTTAGTTTTATAAGAATCTTTCTTCTTTATCAAGTTGTCTTTTGCTTTAGGTTTTATTTTTATGCATACTGCATTACTAAAAATTGTTAAAATAATATTTTTTACGAACGTATCCTCGCCGTACCCGTATCCTAGTTTTTCAAATTTTCTCGTATCGCCGTATCCGTATCGTATCGTATCCGTATCCCATATCTGTATCCGTGCTTCCTAGAACCAAATAGATAATGACCACACTTATTATTATTATTATTTTTTCAAATAATATATAGATAGACACACAAACAAGATAGTTGAGTGATAGTAGCTGAATCAAGGTTTTAAAAAGCCGCCGCAACCGCTATGTAACGCCCCTAAACCCTAAATCCTAAACTCTAGTTACATAACGGTTGTGGTGGTTGCCGTCACACGTTACGGTCACTTTTGCAGTGTGATTGAGATTCACAGGTGTAGCGGTCGTACGGTGTCGTAACGGCTTGTTACGTACCGTTACGTAATGGTTCCGAACTGTTTTTTTCGAAAAAAACATACAAAAAAAAAAAAATTAAAAATGAGGGAAGAGGGCTAGAGAGAAGAGGGAAGATAAAGAGAGAAGATGGAGGAGCAAGAGATAGAGAGAGAAGAGGGAAGATGAAGAACATGTTATTGATTTGTTGAAATTGTAAGACCTACGCTATTCTATTCAGCTGCTATCACTCAACTATTTTGTTTGTGTGTGTCTATCTATATATTGTTTGATAGTAATAATAATAATAATAATAAGTGTGGTCATTATTTATTTGGCTTGGTTAAAATATGTATATAAATATATATATTTAGACTCTTATTTATTCTCTTACTTTTGTCATTGTTTATCTTATATATAATAGTCAATGATTAATTTTTTGTATAATATAAAGTCATTAATTATTATAAAATGTAAAAAACTCAGATTATAGTGATTTAAAAATATGAAATATATTGGATCATACTTAAAAATTTATAAAAATTGATCAATATTTATTTTAAACTCAATAAATATGATCATGGAAAAAAAATATGTGTATCGGTAAGTTTTTTTCAAATTGTGCGAAAAATAAAAAAATTAACGGTTCCACCGCAACCGTTACGCTACAGCTTTTACATTCCGCAACCGTGCCACCGCCACCATTACGGCGACCGCAACCGTTTTTCAGAACCTTGAGCATAGGTCTTACAGTCTCAACAAATCAATAATATGTTCTTCATCTTCCCTCTCCTCTTCTTTCTCTCTCTCTATCTCTTGCTCCTCCATCTTCTCTCTTTATCTTCCCTCCTCTCTATCCCTCTTCCTCCATTTTTAGTTTTTTTTTTTTTGGTTTTTAAAAATTGAGCTTTTTTTTTTTTTTTTTTTTGTGTGTGTGTGTTTTTTTCGAAAGAAGCAGTTTAGAACTGTTACATAACGGTGGGTAACAGGCTGTTACGGCACTGTTACGACTGCTACGACAGTAGCTATGGCCGACACACCTGTGAATCTCAATTACACTGCAAAAGCGGCCGTAATGGGTGGCGGTAACCACCACAACCGTTACGTAACGGCGTTACGTAACGGTTGCGACCGCTTTTTAAAACCTTGTCCAAGTCTGATTTTGTGTCACGGCAAGCGAAAACATAAGGTACATGCTTTAGACGATAAACTACGAAGTATGGACACTTTTAAGAAGGCGGTGTGTCTATGTTGTACGCACTTCCAAATGTGTTCTGTTTTTTTAGAAAACAGACCTAGACATGTGTTGGGGGGATAGACTTTTCCGTTGCTTAATCTCACATGAAACTTGTAAGTTTGAACAAAATTACTTGTTATCTAATGACAAAAGAGAAACAATATAAATTTATACATATTAATCATTCCTATTTGAAACTCTATAAATTAATGTCATATTGTGTTTTTTTATTATGAGACACACATATATATTGCGTATAATACTATACATTTTGCGCGTTTCTGTCTTGCATATTTTAAAAATTGTCGTGTTGGCGTCTTTGTCTTGAAATTTTTCTAGAAAGTGTCAGGGCCGGTTCTGCGATTTTCAAGGCCCAAGGTGGAGTCTTAAAATTGGTGCCCTTTATGTATAAATAATAAAAAAAATCATTTATTTAAAATTTTATTCTAAAGGTGTATAATGTAAATTCAAAGTTAATGTAATGCGAGTCATTCCTATAATGATTTAGATCTATAAATATATGTTTTTTGATTTGTTCTTTAAGTGAAACATTTTTAATTTTTTTTTTTTTTTTTTTTTATCAAATTTAGAATTCATCAAATTTGAATTTGATGAAAATTTAGAAAGATAATGAAGATAATTTTTTTTTTCCCCATCAAATTTGATGAAAATGGAAATTTGGGATATGAAGAGAATTTTTAGAAAGATTTTCTTGAAAATTTGATAAAAGAGTTGGATTAATTCATATCAAACCAAGTTTTTTACTTGAATAAATAATCAAATTAAATCAGGGAAGAAAAAAAAAATGAAGGGTTGCAGATGTTCTAAAACCCTTTAATTTAGATTGTGAAGTTACATGAGTTGGTTTGGACCTTCATTTTTAAACCTACTAACACCATATGAGTTAAAATTATTTGGGGGGTAAAGTTTTTATTTTTTATTTTTTATTTTTTTGGGGGGGGTGGGGAGCTCGAGTAGGGCGGTGTTGGCGACAGGTGTGGTCATTGGTGTTTTTTTGTTTGATGTGGTTGGTTTGGTTGGAAAGGAACATGAGAATTTTCCAAGGAATTGAGCATTCGGTTGGGGTGGTTGGAGGACCGGTTCTTAGTTACTTTGTATAGTTGGTTGGATTGTAAAGTTGATCCAGATCTGTTTACTTTTTTAGATTTTTTGGATGATGTGATTGGTTAAGCAAGTTTTGTTTTCCTCTTTTGGTCTATTGTTTTCTTTGCATCATCTTGATACTTTTTCAATAAAATTTTATTATTTATCAAAAAAAAAAAAATTATTTGGGGCCCTTAAAATTTGTCAAAATTTGGGTGCCCGCCTTGCTCGCCTTGGGCCAGGGCCGGCTCTGGAAAGTGTAATCAAATTTGTGTTTAGCAAGCTTTCCTTTTTTTTTCCTTCTCCCAAGACATGAAAAGGTTGTTTAGTTTAGTTTAGTCAATCCTAGAATAGTTTTTGCAGTTATACTTGACACGTTTTATTTTTTGGAAAGTGTAATCAAATTTGTTATGCCTTAGTGTACTTTTTTTAAATTTGATCGTTTTGTTATTAAAAGTTTTTAGAAACATATCTGACAAAATGTAGAAAAAATTCACTTAAAAAAAAAAAAAAAAAAAAAAAAACAAAAACAAAAACAAAAACAAATGGGCACATTTGCTTCAAATGAGGTCTTTTCATGGAGATGTGAATATGCTTTCAACATGTACAGCCAAACAAATGCCTTTCATGGTAATGTCTAATCACAAAAATTTGAAAAAATTACAAAATGGAATATCATCTTTTCAGCTGATGTCATTTTACATCATTGAAGGTTATCATTATTCTAGTGTAGAGCTACTCTGATGATTATGTGGATGCAGAAAGCGTCTCATTTCTTCATTCTTAACCATCACTTTGATTTCATCAATCACATCTTAAATTTCAGTGTAGCTGCTTTGGTATTTTTCGGCAAGTATGGAAGCTAACAGGGGCCAGAATGGAATTCAACTGTTGTTAGCTGCAGAGCAAGAAGCTCAGCGCATTGTCAATGCTGCAAGAACTGGTAATTACTGTTGCAAGTCTCAGTTCGAATCTTTCTGATTCATTTTCATATCGTTATGTTAAGTAAGGATCCTTGTGGTCTTTAAGAAATTATATTACACTTTTGTACTTTGTTATATTGATTTGATTGTGGGTTGTTGGGATGATTACTGCCTACTTGTTTTTAATGTTTTGCACCCATTATTTTTGTGTATTTGTGATTTTTTATTTTCTTTCTTTGGATGAACAAATAAGGTTTCTTGGAGAGGAATTAGTTACTTGGAAGTGAGGTTTTCTGTGTGGGTGTGAGAGGATTATTTCATGTCTTATTAGTAGTATGATTACTCTAAATATTTCTCAGTTTTCATATTATTCCTTGTGGATTGAAGAACTTCTCATTTGCTAGAATGGTATTTAGCCTTCTTTTGCTATTACCACTTCTGATCATTCACCAGAAGATCAAAGTTCAAATTGCCTCGACTTCCAACAGTACCTTGTTCACTGATGCCGCCACCCTTCATTCTGCCTGTGCCTTGTCTGCTTGTCAGTATGAATGTTTGTTCAATGTGCAAGTGTGCTGCAAAGACTTGTGCTTTGTCTAATTTCCAGGCTGCTGAGCGATTCAAGATATCATCATGCTTTTCTTTTGATTTTTAACCAGGGACGACGTGCACTGCACAATTGACAGGCGTGTAGCATTGTGGATGGATCAGTAGATTTATGTAGCTAGGAAACTTGTGTGGCTTATGATACATGCTGGCTGTGAAGACTTGTTTTGGCATTAAAGTTCATATATGTGCATAACAGCATAAAAATATTGTTAAACACATCTATAATACCGATAGATTTATGGGCAAGTTCTTATATTTGCCACAAAAAAAAGAAAAAAAAAAGGAAGATTTATGGGCAAGTTATAAATGCAACCCAATGCAACTGATGGTCTTGACCTAAAAACGAAGATAAAATCGTATGACTTCTCTCTCTGAGATGAAGTAATTTTATTGCTTGAGTGCTTGGTAATACGGGGGTTCACGAGAAGCATTGGGTTGAGTGAACCCCAGGAGCAACCCTGATTTTTATCCACCTCGGTTTCTGTTTTCAGCAAAAATGGCTAGACTAAAACAAGCCAAAGAGGAAGCTGAAAAGGAGATTGCTGAATTCCGTGCACAAATGGAAGCTGAATTTCAAAGAAAGGTTGCGGAGGTAAAACTGCTAAAAACAAAATAAAAATAATTGTCAATATGAATTTCATTCATACAATATCTTTGTCAGGTTGAATCTGTTGGCAATTTTGAATTTCTACTGCCAATTCCGTTTCATGAATTCAGTAGGTTCTTACTACCACATCCTCCACATTCTTAGAGGTTCTGAATTGTTTGCAGCTTTTTACCAACACATTTAATTCAAACTGTTGGCCATACTAGTGTTCATGATATAGTCAAATACTCTGATATTTATCCCCCAAAAAAAGATATAGTCAAGTACTCTGATTCTCTGAATAACTCCATTTTTCTACACAATTTTACCAATTTCTGTGAATGATTGAATTTTGATAAATATGCTTAATCTATCTTGAACTTTGTGCTCCCAACTCCTCAATTTATTTTAAAAAGATTGCAACTGTTGTCATTGTTGCCCTTCTTTCCTAATTCCCAAGTATTGTCTGTATGATGAAGGTTATTCTAGAATTATAATTTCCATTTGCCCCTTTTTCTATTGAATTGTGTATATACTAATTAGACACTACACATTTCGTCGAACAGAGTAGCGGAGATTCTGGTGCTAATGTGAAGCGTCTGGAACTAGAAACAGAGGCAAAGATCCAGCACCTGAAGACGCAGGCTGCAAGAATTTCTCATGATGTTGCCCAGATGCTACTGAGGCATGTGACGACTGTAAAGAACTAAGATCTCGGTTTGACCTTAATGTCCTGGAATGTTTGGGTACTCTCCTGTTATAATTCCTAAATTTTAGCATGGATTTTTTGCTTGTGACGATGAGGAGCTTGCTTTTATCCTGTATCTTAGCATACTTATAATTTGTATTTGTTGATTGTGCCCTTTTATTAAATAAAACCCTTCAATGTGTGTTCTCATGTATTAATGCTTAATGCTAGTGACAGAGAGAACATTCCTCTTACTCAAGAGTTTGTTTAGTGTCATTATTGACCGAGCATCAGTGTAGAAATTGACCTTAATATGTGCAAATTGTACTTTCTGCCCTTTTTCTCAGAGTTATTTTGATATCTCGTTGTGCTCAAAATGTAACAATTACATTATGAATGAACAATATGGACTTTTATCTTTCTCTTTTGAATTTTTTTGATTTTATTGGATGAGAACTTACTCTCATAATTTTACTGTTATTCTATAATTATTTGCTAATATAATGCGAGTGTAACACCATAACCATCCAATCTCCATCTCAACCCATTTATTTTATTTTTTGTGAATCATATGACACCGTTGATTTTCTAGAAAGAATTGGGCAGTGAATCCACGCTTTGCTATCACAGGAGTTCTGTGTTTGTAGTAAAATGTATGAATCTATATGTATCTACAGACAAAGTAGGAGGATGCCTGAAAATACTCCAATTGCCCTCTAAAAGGTGAGGTGAAGAACAATTTACGGGCCAATATTACATCTACGGTATTATTGTTAATTGTCATCGTGCTCTTGTTTGTCTTCTTAATTAGGAATGCAAAATCGAGAGATCTTGCAGGATTTGCTCCACGACTATGGCGCATGCGAATAGTCCTACCCCAAGGAGTGCAGGCCTTGCTGTTGATATTGCCTTCTGGTCTGTTTCCTCCTCAGATTCTCTGTTGTGAATAGCCCAGGCCATTGCTGGTGGAAGAACTCCATATAACATTGTCATGCAGTACCCACCCTGTTCAACATTTCAGGTGATTATGTCACTCAAGGATTTGAGTTGTTTGCCATTGGATATTAACGATAGAGCCTGACACTAAATCCTTAATGGAATCATAAGAAAATTCATCTATGGTTCCTAAAGTACACGTCTTGTGTCATTTTGATCTGTGAAGTTTCAATTTTGTCCCTAGACATTATAAGGCTATGCTTCATGTTCTTTACCATGTTTAGGGGTTGACGTGATAAAATTGAAAACTTTGGAGACCGAAGTGATATGAAACACATATTTTAGAGATTATAGGCGTATTTTATTATCACTCCATTAATGATTTAGATGACCCGTTTGAAATTGTTCCTCAAATGGATCTCTTGAGAAGGTTGCCCAAAAGCGGTATATAAGGTGTACCCGATAAAACTTACAAGATGGGCGACTAGGGCTGCTGTTTCCATTGTTACATAATTTTTCAAGACCACAACTAAGAGACTAGGGTTTAGGTTTTGGGGACCAAAGTGATACGGAACACATATTTTAGAGATCATAGATGTGTTTTATTATCATTTCGTTAATGATTTAGATAGACCTGTTTGAAATTGAAAACATTAAAGATAAAATTCACAAAAGTGAAACTTGGAGGACCAAAGTAATACGGAACACATACTTTATAGGTGTGTTTTACCTTTTTGTAGGGCTTGCACTGAGCACAAACACTCAAAGCACAAATAGGAAAGAAATGTATGAAAACTCATTATCTCAAATTAGATACACAGACTTGAAATCGCACATAAAACTTACAGCAATGTCTGTGGCTGCAGAGAATGCATCTGGAACTGTTGTCGATATAAAAAGAGACGGCACAATGGCCATTGCTGTTGCTGTGAAGCTAACTTTATTTCTTCCCCACCATTTTCTTAGGCTAAATAGCTTGTTTGTTTTCTGTCATAGTTATGCATGTCTAATGTCATTACTCACAGAACATTTGCAATCAATTTAGAGTTAAAAGTGAGTGAAATTCACCTGCAATATCTGTGTTGAAGGTGAACGCCATGACGAGTTATTAAGTTGTTCCTTGAAGAATTCAAAGAAGCCTAGGAGAGTGCCGATTAGCGAAGTCCCGACTGCTAGGAGTGAGAAGGCCTCTACCATAAACGAAACCCCGGTCCATTTCACACTGGATTAGAGTGACAATGTATGATTTGGTGACCATAGGAATATGCTAGAAATAACACTGGATTTAGGCACTGAGGCAAAAAAGTGTGAAAGAGCTAATGGGAATAATAGAATTAGGCCTAATAGGTAACTGGGAACAGGGATTAATGAGTATATTGATCAAGAACGGTTTCAAAGTTTCTATATGCAACAGTATGAATATTTTCTCCCAAGAACTTTGTTGGTCCCCTGAACTAAACTATGTATTATGAAGAGTGCAGATTTAAAACCCATCTCTAAGACCAACTATGAAGTCTAAGACCTCATGTTATACTTACCCCAAAAAAAAAGGTTATTAAAATGTTTCTATAAGAAAGATTATTAGCCAATAATTCTATGAAAACAAAACTAACCACAAAAAATAATGGTATGGTAACCCCCCCCCCCCCCCCAAATAATGGTATGGTAACCCTCTCTCTCTCTCTTTTCTATCACATAACCCTTCACCATAACCCCTCAAGGCCTGCTTGTGGAAGACACTCCTCATGAAAGGAAATATGTGTACACAAGATTACTCTATATTAATTTAGATAGAAAAACATCGTAGACCCAATTTTTTTTTTTCCTTGGAAAAATGTCCAGAATGTAGTGTGGCAACACTGCATTCATTATGGTAACACATCATACAGTGGGACCATCACTGAAGATGTTGCTCCGTTTATGTTTCTTTGCTTCACTTGATTTTCTGTGGTCGGTTTTGTGGTTAGTTCTTTGTCTGTAGAATTACTGGTATAACATATGGTTGAAAGATTGAAGTACCTCAGGAGCAATTCAACAGGATCAGAAACTTGGTCAGCATGGGCTGATAGGCCAAGTGCTACTGCGTCCCAAACAAGCAATGCCAGTAATGGCACAACACTTCCAAGCATAACTGAAGCCCTTATCCTCTGTAGATCACCTCCCAAATAAGCACACACAACTGCAAGAAATCACATATCATAAAACTCATTGTCATCACTGTTTGATCAAAATCCGAGATCAAAATTTGTGTTCACCAGGAGCTAGATCATGATAGACCAAAGAAAATATAATCACAGGAACAGTAGCCGGAACTTTTCCCCAGTCACTATCCCCCTCCAATCCTGACCACCCTCCGAACATGATCGCTAGAACCTCAATTGCTAGTAGCAAACCTATTCCATATCAGTAGGTCAAATTTGTGAATGTGTATGTTTGCTAAATATATAGAACCAGTATACATCTGTTGAAGGAGTATACCTATCATGGAAACTGTGAGCAACTGGTTGATTCGATCTGTGGCTCGGGTCCCTCCAATGGAAATGAGGGCAGTGAAGAGGAGAGTGAAGAAGAATCCGGAGACCGACTCCGGAAGATTGATCAGATGGTGGAGGATCTCACCGGACTTGGAACTGTAGGCAACCATTGCAGTGTAACCCAAGAAAACATAGGTCATGGTAACCAGAGTCCCACCCCAGTCCCCTAGTGTCTCTTGGGCCATGGTTCGGATGGAGAGTACCTCCAACTCATTCTCGTCTACTCTCTTCTCCTTCTTTCTCATCAGTTCAACATTGATTTCAACTAGCAAACTTGCTTCAATTAAGAGGAAAGCCCAACATGTGATCATTGTTATCGAACTTGGAAGCAACCCCTGTAATGTAGAAGAGGTGTAACATTAAAGTCGTTTTTTTAGATGAAACAAACTAGGACTAGCCCAGTAGGTCAAGGGCATAGTTTTAAATACTGCGAAGTTGGAACTGATTTTTTGGGATATAAGATAAAGATACACCCCATTATTAATTAACATTTGCTTATAGTAACTTTTTAATTTTTTTCCTAAAACTTCAAGTTGCCAAACAACACTGCTTGATATTCCCGATACTGCAACTGTAATAGCTTTGTGTACCAATACAGCGATTTAGAACTATGATCAAGGATACCATTCTAGCCTCTATGCTGAAACTCCAAGTATGGACGAAGAGCTTGAGAGAAAGGAAGAGAAAGTTACCGCAGGGGAAGTTTTCTGTGGGAGAGCAAGTATCCCGGAACCAATAGTGGTTCCGATAATTAAAGCGACTGCACCGGGAATAGTTCCCTTTTTGTCGGATAAATTGGTAGACTTATCTCTAAACTTTGCGAGACATTTCTTTGTCTTTGTTGTAGAAACTGAAAGTTTCCAACTGTTGGATGGAATTTTTCTTTGCAGGTAGCAGTAGGCACAAGCACTGTAGGAGCTGCAAGTAAGTAGAGAGAATTATAGTAAGGTAAGAAAATTAGAGGAGAGAGTGAGACAAGGGGGTTAGATCATACATGGTGGATTTGAAGCTTAGTGTAATGCTCTGTTGATGAGTTATTGTCCATGATGAACTTATTTCTGGATCTCTATGCCTATTAGCGTACAAGGAAGAAGGCAAGCACTGTATATCCATGAGAAATAGAGAGAGGAATGAATGGATCATAAATATGAGTTTTCCCAAATATCATGGAAATGAATGGACCATAAATGCAAATTTTCCCAAATATCTTGGAAGTGGACCCTAAGGGCTGAATGAGATTCATTAGGCCTGATTTTATTTTATTTTTTAACCCCCGGGAAAAGTGAAAGTGCTATTGCATGCTTTGACCACATATATCTTTCCTGCAAAGAAACTTGTACAATTCATCAGTTTGAACATGATAAGATACTATTTTTTTTTTAGTCGCTATTCTTATTTTACTTTGTTTTAAATATATTTTTATTTTTATCTTTATTACACATAGAAGGGAGTGTATTTGAAATAAAATAGAGTGAAAATAGTAACTATGTATAAGAAGAATAAAGAAAAATATATATTTGGAGCAAAGTAGAGTAGGAATGGTAATGCTTTTTTTTTTTTTTTTTCCCTCTTAATTTTTTTTTACATCTTTAGGCGGTGACATGAAATGTAAAATTGTGAAAAATAAATTTTTTGTTTTTGTTAACATTGAAATTGGGAGTTTTGGGCCCATTTGGCAACAATTTTATCCTGTTAAATGTTTTTATTTTTATTTTTATATTTAATAAAAACAAAAAAAAAACTGGTAATTGATTTCGCTTCTTAAAAAAGAGATTGAGTTTTACGCGCCTGTGCCGTAATATTGTGGTTTACGGACATCCAATGATTTGATGCCACATCACTTCAATTTAAAGAAAACAGTAGGCGTTTTAGCAGGAGATTCATCAAACTTAGGGTTATTTTGAGAAGTTGGTTAAAAGTCTTTTTTTTTTGTTTGTAGCAAAAGTTAAAAGTTGACTTTTTTGTCTTTTTTTTTTTCATTTGGGAAGTTGGTTTTTAGCCAACGGTGAAATTATAATTTTACCCTCATGGGTCAAAATGTGTTACATAGGTGAAGTCGTAAATATTTTAAATAAATGGGGGTAGTTTGGTCATTTTATTATGATTTGACATCATAAACAAACATTAATCAAAAAAGTCAAAAGTCACTTTTTACCAACTTCTCAAATCATTTGTCTAAAAAAGCCAAAAGCTTGGTTAAAAGTTAAAAAGTCACTTTTTATCATTTTTCCAAAATAAGCCTTAACTATGGTTTAGAGATAAGGTCTCAATTTTTCTTTTCACCTGCAATAGGACTGATCGAAGCAATCATAAAATTCGCAAATCAAACCGGTCGTGTCTACTTTGATAAGTTTGATTTTTGATTTTTGAATCCGGTTCTTCACGAATCGATTCTAAATTAAAGTTTATACTTTTGGATTAGAATCGATCTGAAAATTTAAATCATATACATGCCATGCACCCTAACATATTGAGAAAATATATTACAAATTGTCCCAAAGACCTCTTTTGAAAATATGTTATTTTAATAATTTTTTTATAAAAAGGTATAGATACTGATATAATAATTTATAATAATTTTTTTTGTCTAAAATATTTAGTCTTCAAACGAGGTTTGAGTTTTCTCATAATCAAGAGAAGAAAAAACAAAAGACTTTGACATTTCAATCTGTACTAGAAGGGAAAAAAAGTCTTGATCTTTGAAACTTTGATGAACAGACATGTAAGGGATTTACTTGTTAAAATAGTAATCACAGACATGTAGGGATATATGTTTATGTTTCGAAAAATTATCGACAGATTAATGTTAAAATAAAAATGATATATGATTTTTTTGTATGAATAAATTATGTGAATTTATGGTTTCAAACCAAGTCAAATCTTATTTAAATGGATTGATTTTATAATTTAAATGAATTGATTTGATTTCAATTTTTATAGAATTATAAACAACAAATTAATTTTAATTTTATCTCAAATTGAATCAATTTGGACTACGCTGACTCCTAATCTGCAAGCTCTCTCTCTCTGTCTTTTTTATCTTCCCCCTCTCCCTCTCACAACGTGAGATCTCTGTTTTTCACCTCTCTTTCTCTCTGTTCAACCTCTCTCTCTACAAGCCCAAATGATCCAGCGACCATTACCACCTGCCAGCCACCATTCTCTTCTGCTCAACACCATCACCATATTATTTCAAATAATAAAAAATAATTTTGCACAATATTAAAAGAGGGAAAATGCTATGTATCCAAAGTAAATTATCAAATAAATTACCAAATCTCTCACATGAATGTGGGACCCACACACAAGTGATTTGTGTAGATCCAAACCCATGTGAGAGATTTGATAATTTATTTAGTAATTTATTTGGAGTCCCTAATATAATTTAACACTGTGTTTGGGAATCTAGGAGAGAAAAGAAAAGAAATGATTACTTAAGTAATAAGAGAAAAGAAAAGAAAAGAAATGATTGTGATTTCTCTCATTTTTGTTTAGATAAGGAAGAAATAAAAGAAAAGAAATGATTATGATTTTTCTCATTCTTGTTTGGTTAGATTTTATTAAGAGAAAAGAAAAGAAATTATTTTATATTATATTACCAAAATAACTTTTTTATATTTTCAATCATTTTATTTCTTTTATTTTTATAGGGACAAAATTGATATTATGAAAATAGTGGTTTCTTTTTTCTCCCAATCCCTCCACTTTTGGAAAGATTGAGAAAAGAAAAGAAATGATTACTTAAGTAATAAGAGAAAAGAAAAGAAATGAAATGATTGTGATTTCTCTCATTTTTGTTTAGATAAGGAAGAAATAAAAGAAAAGAAATGATTATGATTTTTCTCATTCTTGTTTGGTTAGATTTTATTAAGAGAAAAGAAAAGAAATTATTTTATATTATATTACCAAAATAACCTTTTTATATTTTCAATCATTTTAATTTTTTTTATTTTTATAGGGACAAAATTAATATTATGAAAATAGTGGTTTCTTTTTTCTCCCAATCCCTCCACTTTTGGAAAGATTAAAAATGAGGCTTGTAAGAGAAATGGGTTTACCTCTATTTCTCTCAATTTCTTTACATTGCTCTCCACTTACATTATGTTTGGGAACTTAGGAGAGAAAAGAAAAGAAAATAAAGAATTACTTAAGTAATAAGAGAAAAGAAAAGAAAAGAAATGTTTGTGATTTCTCTCATTTTTGTTTGGATAAGGAAGAAGTAAAAGAAAAGAAATGATTGTAATTTCTCTCATTCTTGTTTGGTTAGATTTCATTAAGAAAAAAGAAAAAAATTATTTTATGTTATATTACCAAAATAACCTTTTTATATTTTCAATCATTTTATTTCTTTTATTTTTATAGGGACAAAATTGGTATTATGAAAATAGTGGTTTCTTTTCTCTCCCAATCTCTCCACTTTTGGGAAGATTGAAAATGAGGCTTATAAGATAAATGAGTTTCTCTCAATTTTTCTATATTTCTTCCCATTTCTCTTTACTTAAGTTATCCAAAAAAATAAGAGAAATACATATCACTCCATTTCTTTTCTTTTCTCTCCAAATCACTCAATCCAACCATAGTGTTAGAATATCCAAACAAGTAAGAGAAATGCATATCTCTCCATTTCTTTTCTTTTCTCTCCAAATCACTCAATCCAAACATAACAGAGACTTTAATTTGTTCGTCCTTTTGTCTTTTATTTCTGTGATTGCTTTATCAATACAAGATTACACAGATTAGTCTAATTTTTTCTTATTTTTTATGCAATCTTTATTTAAAATATATATTTATTTATATATGTTTTTATGTATAGGTGCATATGCAATTATAATCTTTGCAGGTTCTGAACCAAACTCCATGTAAACTGAATCAGGACTTCCCTTTGGATTTGTGGAAACAGAAAAGGGGTTTTTAGAGAGGGAAAGGGGGTTAGTTTTTGGAAGTAGAGTGTACGGGAAAGAAATACGTCTTCTCGTATAATCCTGTTGACCAAGTCCACGCTCCTCCGTACGACGTCGCTTTATCACCTGAAAACACAAACATGGGCTAGCCGGCGGGTGTGTGCCGGAAACCTCTCCGATGCCTAAGTCAGTAAGCTTGACAAATAGACAAAGTTCTATGTGCTCAGAAAAAATCGTGTTCAATTACCTCCTCCAAGGTGATGTTTGTGAGCTTTTATAAGTTTCCTGTGGCACAATCCTAGTAGGACTTGTATTTCTCCATGCAGAGTCCTCCTAGGATTCATACTCCTAAGGATAATGCTTATCCTTTTACACCCTCCCCCACTGCTTAAACCAAGTGGGATGGTTTTCCCCATGGCCGAACTTCCATTTGACCGAAGTAAAACTGGCTATGCCGAGCCACAAAGTAGGCCGAACTATCCTTAGTTCAGCCTTTCCCTTTACTCTTCCTTATATCGGTTTCTCATCTGTTCAACCCATGGTGTGTTTGGACCAAACCAACGACTCTCGACCGGTATAACTCCCAAACTGGTATACCTCTAAGGCCGACATAACTTCAAGGCCGATCTAACTTCGAGTTGCTCCCAGACCGAAGTACATTTACAATCCTCTAACCGAAGTAACTTTATAATTCCTGAGCCAAAGTAATTTTACCTCCCTGGGCCGGAGTAACTTTGTTTCTCCTAGGCCGGAGTAACCTTGCTCTCCTGGGCCGGAGTAACCATTATGGCCCTTTTACTTAGTCCTTCGCACTTTGGGCTTCAAAGCCCAACTCGCAGCTCGGCCCAATTTTTCCCAAAAATTACCCTCTCATAGGGGTTGATGGGTAATTTTGGTTTTATGGAGAGAGAATGGAATAAAAGTCAAAGAAAAGAAAAAGATGGAAAGAAATTGGGTCACTTGACTTGACTTGCAAAGAGAAGAATGAGAGAGAGAGAGAGAGGAGAGAGAGAGAGAGAAAGATATGTGTCATTCGTAGTTTGCAGTGAGAGAAACGAATTGGAGGTCATGTCAGAGTTTGTAAAGTGTAGGGGTGTTAAAGAAAAAAAAAAATTAGTGGAACGAGTAAACCGATCTAATTGGTGTGGTCTAATCTTTATTAGTTTCAGTTTTATTTCTGATTTTGAAAATGGTCAAAACGTTCAAATCCGTTTGGTTCTTGGTTCCAAAATTTTAATTACGGTTCCTGAACAT